CTAAGTTAGGCCCTTCAATTGAGGAGGCCATCATTTTTGTTAAAATATTTCTGAAGATTTTTGCGATAGATTTTATGTTTTTCAGGGTTGAAATGGAATTAAACCGGACAATGAACCCGACAAATGTATGTGTTTTGCTTTGTTGAAGCAATTTTTTTGTCTTGGAAGTTTTTCATAAATCCACAATTACGCGATAAATTTTCTACATGAAGTTTGTCCTGGCGGCGGGGAGTGAAACTTATGATGTTGGGCGAAAATCTTCGGCAAAAAATCGATGGCGCAAATTTTTTTTCACCAAAATTGAGATTTTTCCGAACATGGAACCTGCTTTATCAATTTGTTATTGAGTTTGTTTAAAATATCACCTCACGCACCAACACATGAAATTTGACATTGAGGGTTTTGTAAATCCGTATCTTGAGAGTGTTAAAATCTTGCAGTCATAACCTACGGTAATATTCGAATAAGCGTACCTAAAAACAACTTTCATTTCGCCCTATATCTCCGGTACGGACATGTGAAATTTGTAACTTTAAATTGTAAATGTGCTGGAAACATTCTCTGAAAATTTCAGTCTCTCAGCTTTCCCGGTTTCCGAGTTAGCCATTTCCTCTCCAAAAACTTTCACGTGGCCATACGTGGGAATCACGCACAGAGAGAGGGACTGAATTTAGTAACTTTAATGTGTAAATCTGCTGGGAATATCCCCTGAAAATTTCAGCGCCTCCAGCTTAGTATAAAGTTGGCGATCTGTATTTTTCATCAAAATTTCTCTGATTCATCATTAGGATTGTCTTGTAATATCGTCAAGATTGTTTTTAAGATTATCTTTATCATTAAGATTGTCTTTGTTGCCTCTGCTACCAAAACGATCCTGAACATCGGTGAAAAGCTGTTGATTCTTTTCCCACGTACACCGCCCGAACCATCGCTGTAAAGTCTTCCATTTTCAGTTCTCTATACACTTCGTTTTCAGCCAACTGAAGCAATGAATGATACCACCAGTGTTGCTCAGCTTTCGCCTGGATCGCCAGAAAATGGTCCCACAGCAAAAAAGATCCGAAAAATGATCAAGCCGGCCTCTATCAATGCACATATTAACGGGGTATTTTCCGCTGTAATTTTTATGCGTTTTTTTGCATCTGTGCAGTGCAAAAATGCATGTTGTCGAGGGATTGCCTGTGTGTTCGGCTTTACCGATTTTCCAGACCTACAAAAGCTAGAAGGCTGAAAATTTGAGAACTTAATCTACATGCATATGCAGGCTTTTATCCCCAAAATAGACACTTTGCCCACTTGATTCCCACGTACAGGCCTGTGAGAATTCTTGGCGGGTAAGTTGCTACGTCGGGAACCAGAAAAGCTAGAAAGTTGAAATTTTAAGGGAGTGTTTTCTGGCAGTCATGGTGGCCAGTCTCAGTTCTTTTAGCTATAAGCATCTGCCGGAAAAACAGTGCCGTTAGCGACAGAAACCTGCTGGGAACTATGCAGAAAAAAAGAAAAAAAACATCGCACAGGCAGTCGTTCGCCAGTCAATTATTTGCTTTTGTACAATTATTTCCTTTTTGTCCATTATTTTCCCCATCGCTGAGACCGGCCTGTGGCTGGTTCGGGATTTTGCTGTCAGCGTTGATTGCTCTCTGTTAACACATGTTATTGCTTCCCCACGTTGCGGGATCGGAAAGAAGTTCCATCTCAGTTGCAGAGTTGTTCTGAGTTGTGAGTTGGTCTCAAATTTTTAAAAATACATTTTTGTGTGGTTGAAATTTTTCTGACAACAATGCAGTAATATTAAAACAGTGACGTTTTCAGGATGTTACATCGCATGTTCTGTCCTTTAAATGCTTATTTTGTGAAGCATTCATCTTTACTCTGCAAAGGTTATTTAGTCCATTTATCCACCAAGACAATGCTTTTATTTCTCCCTGTAAAAATCAATCCCTGTACGGTTCTTTGATTCTTACAGTTGTTAAATGATTTGATACGGTTGGATGCGATTTGGAAGGACTACACGTAGAAGGGCCTGAGTTAAATGAATTGTTTTTGGTCCTTTCTTCTGTGCACCATAATTGTAGCAGTGCGAAAGAGATGGAAAAAGCGGAGAAGAAAAAAAGATTATCAAAGCTGTAATAATGTGTAGAAAAAGAGTCGGCGCTGTTAACGTTCGAAGTGCATGTGACGAAGTGAATACAGTAAAGAGTTAAAAGTTGAAATTCCCTCCCTTTTTGTTTTCTCTGAGAAGTGGAAAGTAGTTGGAAGTAGCGCAAATAGTAGCACTGTCAGTAACAGTCATCTATTCACTAGGCCATTTAAGGGCAGTTCGAAAATGCAGTTGTCGTGAATAGAGCCCTTTCTCCAAAAATTGTTGTGGCCCGATAGGGAATCGAACCACTCCCCTTCACGCCCGGGCGCAGTGTGTTACCAGTGCACCACCGGTCCTTGTGTTCTAGTCTGGCAGCACATCTACTGTGCATCCGCCTTTCACGGCAGGATATACCCTTCTCTTTTTTCTTTGTGACGACTTCTTGGCCGGCTTTTCGCAGTTTTACAGCGACAACAATAAAGATAATTGAAACTGATCAGTACAAAAAAGTATAGTTAAGATACTGAAGAAATTAGCCCACTGTGCACATTTGCACGTTTATTTTACATCAACACCACAACTCGCTTGCTAGCGAGATTCAGTTATAGTGCAAAATAAGAATGTATACAATTTGCTGAACTGGGATTTTTTCCTCTGTCATCATTAATATTTTCATATTTTTTTTTAACGCATGTAAATAAGCCTAAAATTGTGCTTCTATTCCAGCTTTATAATTCATCTGAAAAGTTCTCATCCAAATGAAGATGTCTCGGAGATGCTCAGTGATCATTTTCGTTCCTGTATTGTATCGGTGGAAAAGGAGAAAGTTGTTGTTGTTTCTTATGGTAAGATTTATGATCGTTTTTTATCTAGGTTTACAGGCATTACTCGGAGTTATTTCCCAAAA